ACTGGGCAAAATAGTCTAAAACTATCACTTCAGAACTCCTGAAACCAATCAAAAGCCAACAAGTTGAGAGGTGATTATTCATGAAAAACTTCTAAAGTAAGAACAGAGGGTCTGTGGCATCCTTTTCTAGAAAGAAATATAAAATAGAGTGGAAATCAATGAAATAAAAAACAAAGCCAAAATATAGAGAAAAATCAATGAAACCAAAAGATTTTGTAACAAAACTGACAAACCTTCGGCTATACTGACCAAGAAAAAAAAAGACACAAATTACCAAAAGCAGTGAAATAAGGGACATCACTACCAACTTTACAGATAGTAAAAGGATTGTAAGATAATTTTATGAACAACTTTATGCCAACAAATTAGACAATTTAGATGAAATGACAAATTCCTAGAAAGATACAAATTATAAAAGCTGACTCACAAAGAAATAGAAAATCTGAACAGATCTGTAGGGAAAATGTAAGTTTCATGGCCAGGATCCTCACCTGATATCCATAGTGTACGTGTGATGAGATCATACTTGGTCTACTGCACAGGTGCATGCTTGCATACCCATTGGCAAAAGCCATTACTGCCCAGTTCTCCTGGTGCTGAGCGCCAAGCCTAGCGAAGAGACCTAGAGCAGGAGAGAGGAGAGCAAAGGCTGGAGGAGAAGGCAGAGCCTGGAGCCAAGGCAGAGACTGAGATGGGCTTGCTGCATGCAAAGGCAGATGTGATTCCAGCACTTGACCTGCCACTGTGAGACTAAAGCTTGGTATGATGAGCCCCTTTTCACCCCTAACATTCCATTGTTGTTATTCTGTCTCACTGAATCCAGAGTAAACATGCCTGGGGCTGAAACCTTCAGGTGAGACAGATCTATAACAAGTAGGAATTGAATTAATAATTTAAAATCTTCACACAAAGGAAACACAGCTTTACGGCTTCACTGAATTCTATCAAATATTTCAAAAGGAAATAATACCAATCCTACACAAATGTTATGAGAACTGCCAGGAGTTAATATTTTTATTGATGAAATAAATATTAAATAAAAGTAGGAAAGCCAGTCTGGCCTGTCAATGATGAAGAAAAGTTCCAACGTACTTTGTAAAGACATTGTGTTGAATGTTGCTAATATTTTACCCCAAACTTCATTTACATGATGGTGTTTGCAAGGTTAGCTATTACAGAACTCTTAACTGGGCACTTAAAATCTCAATACCACAGTCTTGCATAGCACTAGCAAAATAAAAGCCAATATGAGAAAGGCTTGGGCTTTGTCTATCAGACATTTTCTCAGATCTGATTTACCCCTCCTCTCCTTGCTCATCCTTTACATTAGCACAGCACTTATCAGGTAGGTCTATAATATACTGCTGGGAACTCCAGTGAGTTCAAGGATACCAGTAACAAGACTTCAAAAAGATAAAGAACCTCAATTATGAGAGTTAAAAGGGTCTTAACGATCATGTAAGGTATTGGTACTCACATTTGACAGAGAGGTTAAGAGACTTGTATGAATATTCCAAAAGTCCTATAAAAAAACCAGCTTGAACTTCCTTGTTACCCTTGTTTCTCCTGTATGATCAAGTCTATGCTCCTGATAAAAGTACTGGCTTTATCAAATTCACTCCATACTTACGAAAGCATAGTGCTTGCCATAAATTGAGGCAGTACTGAAATGAGAAAGAAATGGTCATTGCCATCAAGAGTTCAGTTTAGGAGAAAGATAAGACAATTGCAAGTATAAAAGTAGATCAAACATCAGAAAGAAAGTACATTGTGCAAAGGGAATTGAAAAAATGTGTTCACATCAGCTGCTGTGACTAAGAAAAGCTTAAGGGAAGAGGCAGTACTTGAGTAAGGCTTGAAACAGAAAGTAGGGTTTTGACAGAACATGAGGGGAGGACATCTCAAGAGAAGGAAGACACAGTGTGTGTGTCCAGTCTAACTAAATCATAAAGGTTAGGTATTTGGAAACTTTTTTGCCACTACAGTCTCCAACCATTTCCAAAGCCCGGCCACAGGACCTACTCCTATGCACACCCGAAAGCAAAGATAACTGCCTGATGTCTACAGTTCTCAATAAGCTCACTCGACCGTCTCACTTTCCAGAATAGTTATCAGAATACAAATGAGTGAGAATGATCTTATTACAGATAATCTTCAATCTGCTTTGATTTTTAAATGTACTAAATATTATTTTTAGTCAAAAATTGCTTACTATATACCCCAAAACTGATGGTAATAAGAGATTAAGAACCATCAATATAATGGGAAGTAAAGGTGAAAACTATCCCTGAATGGTCTCAAGTACAAACCAAGGCATTTAAACAGTGAAATGATTGAGGTTGCATTTGGGAAGATTATTCTGAAAATGTGGAGAAAGGAATAACACGGTTAAGAAGTTTGTATAAAAGTCCTGGTTAGAGGTAATAGAGAAATAAAACAAAATGGTAGTGGAAAAAAAAAAGGCGATGGAATTGAGAAATGGGACAAATATGGAAGATAAGCTTTGTGAGGGCACAGGTCTAACTTGTCACCTTTGTGTTTCTAGTGGTTCAATAAGTATTTTTGAATGGATAAAAAAAATAAGTTCAAAAAATAAATAAATAAAGTTCTTGGCAGCAAGGCATGTATGACAGTGGTAAAGCAGACTTCTTGTCAAATCAGTCTCATTCATTAGCTTTACAACCTTGGGTAAGTTACTTGACCTCTCTATGCCAGTTTTCCCATCTATAAACTGGAGCCAATAATAATTTCTAGATCGTAAGGCAGTTTTGAGGATTAAATAAGGGTAATATATAAAACGCTTCAAAGAATACATGACACATGTATCTGCTATACAAAAGTGCTATTACTTTTATTAGTGAATGTAACTCCGGGAGAAAATGTGTTCCCAGCCCAGGGCAAATAAACCTTTGAAGCCGAAATCAGTCAAGGGGAAGAATAAAGTGGGAGAAACTAGTTCATTGCTTACAAAAAGTCCTCTACTCCCACTCGCCAGTGTCTCTCCCGGTCCTGGCTGGGAAAACGCCAAAAAAAAAAAACCTTGTGGTGCCAGCGCACGCTTCCCTCTTCCCCCACCCCTTGTAAGCACCTATTCGTCTGGAGGTAGGCTACTTCTCTCCACTCCTTATAAACACCTATTGATATGGAGATAGACTAAGGCCAGGCGAGAGATTCTGGAAATAGTGCAGTTTACCCACTGTGAAATAACGTATTTTTAACAGAAATTGAGAAGTGAGAAAAAAGTTTGGGGTTAAGAATAATCAACTGCACTAAGAGTGCTCTGTTTGGCCTTCAGTGGATCCACTTAGTATGGATTGGGCTGTTGGGAAGAAGGCTGGACTTAAGAGATTTGACTCTTGCCACTTTCTTCTGCTCCCTGCAGCCCTCGTCTCCCAAGCTTAGCATACTAGCCTCTTTCAGTTCCTCCTATAGGTCAGGTTTTCCTACTTCAGGGCTTTGCCACTTACTGTTCCCTCAGCCTGGAAGAGCATAGAGCCTGGACTCAACAAAAATTTAGATTCAATCGATGAACTTGGAACTCTTCAAACATAAGTAAAAGTTAAATCCCTGGGAATTTATGAGACTGCCATGTAAGCATGACAGAAGATAAAAGTGTCAGTGCAGAAAAGAGGAGCCAACAAATACAAAGAAGTATTCAAAGGTAGCCAGGTTCAGTTGGAACAAAGTTCTAAGGAGACAGAAACACCCTGAAACTCAGAGGACACAAGGAGGGTGAGAATCACTGGATTTGGCGATTTTGACAAAGTTCAAACAGTTAAGGAAAATAAGTCAACTATCATTGACTAATTTACCAAAAATGTTTGGAACGGTAGGGAAGCAGGGTCTAGGAAAGCTGACTTTAAGGATAAACCCCGTTTTTAGGGTTTCTCTGGTAAGAATATAAAGCGACAGAGCAGAGAAGCAAACAGGGACTAAAAGCATAAGGCTAGATCCTGGAGACACTCTGGGTCTCTATTTGTACAGTTTTATAATGTCCACAGTTCTATCACTGCGTTGTTACCGTCCTCCAGCTCTCCGACGACACACGGTCTAATTGAGCCATTATCAAAGTGTGGTCCCTAAACCAGCAGCAGCAGCATCACAGTAAACTTGTTAGAAATGCGTACTCTGGGGTCCCACACCAGATCTACAGAATCTCTGCAGGTGAGGCCCAGCAACCTGTGTATTATTTTATAAAGTCCTCCAGGGAGTCCTTCCAAGTCCCCACAACCTCCACCCCCACAACCTCCACTCTGGAGAGAACGACAGAAACCACTGGAAGGAGTGGTGGCCAAGGTCGCAGGGCAGATTTCCGCCTGACACTTCTATCTGAATCTTCCTTGCGCCTAACGAGCCCACCCAGCACGCAGCTGGGCGCACTGGCGCTGCGCTGCAGAGGCGGCCTACGCGAGTCCACCAAAACACCCGCTGCGGACGACAGACTGGCGCCTTAACCGCACACCGCCCCGCCCTCGGGCTTCCACTTCCGGCGCCCAAGGATGGCCGCGGGGCAGGGACTAGGGCGGACGTGTCTGACTTCCTCGAGACCGGAGGTGGGTGAGGACGTTTGTTCTCTAACTCCTCCCATGGCCTGATGACTCTTCCGTGAAACAAAGATAGTCTAGGATGAATGTCCAGGAACCTTGGAACTCAATAAGGGAATAGAGAAGCCTCGAAAATGCCCCTCCGCCTTTTTCACTGCTCTCCGACACCGAGACCCAAGGAAGGGAAAGGCTGAGGGGAAAAGGCTGAGGCTCAAAGCCAGATCTAGGAGGGGCGGAGAAAGGTGCCCGAGAAGGAAATCTCGCGATAGGAGGCCGACCGGGGCGGGGGTGACATCTCTTCCCTTTCTTCGCGTTAGTTCCGGTCGCAGAGGAGGCACCGCCGCAGTTGCCGCCACATCGGGGATTTCTGGCTCTTTTCTCTTCGCCTTAAATTAGGTGAGGCACGGCTTCCGCTCGTTCCGGGCCCAAATTTTGTGACCTTGTCGCCCGGCAGAGTGCGAGGGAGGCGGCAGGCCTGTGCGGCCCGGCTTCGTGGACCCGACCCGAGGCCGTCGCATGAGGCCGAGCCCGATCCAGGGCCTGGATTCGAGGACCCGGGCCACCGCCTCAGCTGGGTGGCCGTGGGGTCCGGGAGTGCGCCGCCGCATCAGACACGGAGGCAGTGGCGGAGGCAGGCCCTCCCCGGCCTCGGTAACAAAGCCGCCGCAGCCTCTATTGAGTGATGACGCGTGGGGGGTTCCGGCGGGCGGGGCGGCAGAGCCGCCACCATCACTGCGGCGGCGGCAGCTGCTTTCGCTGGAGGGCGGGCAGATGTCCGGGGCGACTGGGCTCCCGGCGCGAAGCGCCTTAGCGCCAGTGGTCCAATCGTTGCGGCGGACGCCACCGCCGACTAGCGGGTCAGTGGAGAAGGGGTTGCGGACGAGGAGCAGCCTTTGCGGCGCCCCGCTGTGGCCAAGGGGTCCTGGACTGCGGCGGTCACCTGTCGCTCGAGCGGGAGACTCAGGAAGGGTGTGGACAGGGAGACACGTGCTCCGGGAGGAGGCTTTGGTTGTAGGGTATGGGGCAAAGGAGACTACGCCCGCTGTCATCTTGCAGGATAGAGTGGACACGCGACGGCCGCGGTCACGGGCACGACTGGAGAGTAGGGTTGTGCTCCTCAAAACCAGGCCCCCCAGAAGAAGGGCTTCACCTTTTGACAGGGGCTTAAAATTTGCGTATACGTTTTGGATACTTATGATTATGGTGGTAATCTCAGTTAGCCTTCTGTGGTGCTCAGAAGTAGTGGAAGACCTAGGCAAATTTAATAGGAATGAGGAAGAGGTCGAACAGTTACGGTTTGCCACCAATCATTGTGGCGCTGTAAAATTATTTAAGTGTGCTTCACGTGACATATTCAAAGGGTTTTCTTGTGAGAAGAATGTGAAGGTAATTCTTTGTACCTTCCCCAGGTATATTGCTAGGCTGAAAGTGTGTTCTATTTGATTTGTATGTGACTAGACCAAAGTTTGTTCGTTTGTTTTCAAAATGAATGTTACAGCACAGATACTTTAAGACCTTATTTTTCTTTTCGTAGGGTGTCTTTTATGAATAATCAAAAGCAGCAAAAGCCAACGCTATCAGGCCAGCGTTTTAAAACCAGAAAAAGAGGTAAATGTCTATGTTTTAATAATCTCACTTCAGACCTCCATAATAACTTTTATATTTTGGCTCCTCTGGGAGGCAAATATTTCGTACTAAAACCTTAAGAGAAAGTACCAAAAAAGAACTTGAATTTCTCATTGACAGCGATTTCAGCTACACGTTTAGTATTTCTGTTTTTCCAAACCTTTTGTTTTTTAGTAGCAATGTTTATATCTCTAAACAGGTTAGTGAATGATCTTTTTTTCATGAAGATAAAGTTTTTTGTTTTTTTTGTTTTTTTAAATATGCGTTGCATTTCCACTAGCCAAATTTCACCTAAAATTTTTGCTTGACGGGAAAAAGTTAAGTTATAAAAAGGGAGCTCCTGACGTGATCACATTTACCCAAACTTTGTGAAGATTTGTGAGAGAAAAATCAGACTTTACCCATTAAAGTTAATTACAGAACAGAGGTCAAATTGTAGTGTCTCTTGAAATTAAATATTTCTCACGGACTTGGTAAGAAAAGTACGAGAATTATATTAATTATCTTTCTGTAATAGTGGCTGCTTAAATGAATACTGAATTCTGTAGCAAGGCACTGCACTAAGCGAATACCAAGTTAAATGAGATGTTGGCTCAGATATATTCTGTATTGGGCTTAATATTTTCCCCAAAATTTTTCAATGTTACTGCTCAGAAGCACATACTGACCTTATTTTACAGGAGATTTTGAGGATATAGAGACCTGGGTCAGGTGCTAGTTATAAATTGTGTTTTTCTACCCTGAATAGCAGACACTTGAAGATCTCTAATCATGGTCTGTCCCCTTGTGCTGGGGAGACCAAAGATTAATTTGATTCTAGTCTTTGCAGATTCGTTTAGATTTAAGCCTGTAAATTTTCTTAAGGGGAGGAACAGAAGTTGTAAAACAGAACAGTTTCTTTCTCAGTAGAGAAAGAAAGTTTGTATACTTCCGAGTATGTTAACTGGTATCACTTTTATATACATATAGTATCAAGTAATTTGTGTTAGCATCATGAAGAGGTATCACTTCCTGGGTTCCAGATTGAGATCACTCATGCCCTTCTAATTCTTGATAATTGGGTTCTGAATAGGGTGAACAGCTGTCCAGATATGCCCAGGACTAAAGAGAGCTCCCAAGACATAGGCCTTTTGGTTTTTAAAAAAAAAACAAAACAAAACAAGAAAATCCTGGTCAAACAGGAAGGAGTAGGTCACCTTTGTGCGTGTGAAAATTAAGATAGCATCTAACCTAGACAAAGGTAACAAACTGTCATGGAGTACGTGATAGCAGCTCATAAAAACTATATGCCCAAGGCACTATTTTGAATACTTTCCAAATTTTATTTGTATCATTTAATATTCACAACAACTTATAAGATAGATACTATTATTGATCACCATTTCACAGCAGGGAAGTTCAGGCATGAAGAATGAGACTACTTGCTCAAATTCAGACAGTTAGGTAGTGATTAGGATTTAAATCAGGCAGTTTGACTCCAGAGATCTTGCTCTTAACTGTGACACTATATAGTCTCTTGATGATCTAATTTATATGACCTTTAATTTCCCTTCTGAATAATGGGAACAAAAAGATCTATCTCACAAGGTTATTACAAGGATTAAAGCAGGGTATCTACTGAAGTTTGTCATGTATTAGATACATGGACTGTATAAATAAATCGGTGAATGTACTTTCTGAAGATTACCTTAATAAATACCAAATGAGTGATTTAAAAAAATAAAAAGGGTTACATGCATTTAAAGAAAAGAATCAAGAGCTCCAGTGTTTGGACACAAGTTCATTTAGGAATAAAATTTACCTGAGATTTAGAGGATATCCTAAATTTCCAGAAAGCCCAGAGGCAATGGGAGATCATTCCAGGTAAAAATTGTCTCCTGGCAGTAGGAACATAGTAACTTATTTAGCTCACTTATATGAGACCTGCGTGAAAAAAAATAACTGGGAGAAAAGCTGCACAGTTCTTGTGACTAGGCAACCCTGTCTTGCACTCGCAGAGGGGAACGTTGAAAAGGATGTGTGTTTGGTCTCCTGTGTGTCCACTATATTGCAGGTCTTTGGTAATCTATATTGTGTTTGTTTTTTCCAGCTGTTGAAGGTGGTTGTTTTCATGGTATTTTGGTAAGCCTTTTAAAACTAAGTGTTTTGGGATTTTGCCCCCAGATGAAAAAGAGAGGTTTGACCCTACTCAGTTTCAAGACTGTATTATTCAAGGCTTAACTGAAACTGGTACTGATTTGGAAGCAGTAGCAAAGTTTCTTGATGCTTCTGGAGCAAAACTTGATTACCGCCGATATGCAGAAACACTCTTTGACATTCTGGTGGCTGGTGGAATGCTGGGTAAGTGGGGAAATGTAATGTATGGAAGATTATGTAGAATCCAATATATGAACTATTTGACAAACCTATCAAATTAGAGTGGCTTTGTTTTTTTACCCCCATAAGATCCTTCTGAGGTTTTCCTCCCAACTCATAGTAAATTAGCAAATTGCCTTACTCTGTCTGGCTTTGTATTTTAAATCTGTTACAGAACCATAGTGTTTAGGGACAACTTTTCTTCTCTGTCTGATACCTAAGCCCCTATAACATCCCTGATGAATGATTTTTCCATTTTGAGCTCTCCCAGTTTGTTTGAGCTCTCCCAGTTAAAGAAACCCTAACCTCTTGCTCTGTCTTATAAAATGCTTCTAATTCTGCACTCTTCATTCATGCTCTTCAGTAAATTAGCTACTAGCCACAGAGGGCTGTCAATCACTTGGAATGTGGCTAGTCCAAGTTGGGATGTGCTGTAAGTGTAAAATATACATTACATTTTAAATAATATAAAAAACAGTACTTTTAATACTGAAATGTTAAAAGTCATAATTTTTTGGTATTGGGTTAAAATACTGAAACTCATCCTTCATTTTTTTTTTTATTTTAGCAAATGTACATCACAGTAATTCAACAGTTCCCCCACCCACTCCCCTCCCCCTTAGTTAACCATTAGTCACTTCTCAATGTCTATGAGTCTAATGCTGTTTTGTTCCTTCTGTTTTGCTTTGTTTTTATATTCCACAAATAAGTGAAATCATGTGGTGTTTGTCTTTCTCCACCTGACTTATTTCACTGAGCATACTACCATCTAGATCCATCCATGTTGAAAATGGCAGGATTTCTTTTCTTTTTATGGCTGAATAATATTCGATTGTGTGTATATACTGCACCTTCTTTATCCAGTCATCTCTTGATGGACACTTAGGTTACTTCCATATCTTGGCTATTGCAAACAATGCAGTGATAAACAGGGGTGCATGTATCTTTTGGAATTGGGGATTTTGTTTTCTTTGGGTAAATTCCTAGGAATGGAATTACTGGGTCATCATCCTTCATTTTTAATATGGCTGCTGGAAGATTTGAAATTACATTATCTGGCTCACATGTTTCTGTTACACAGTACTGATATAATTTATTCCTGCCTCTACCCTCATGAGGCAGTTCAGGAAATCTTAACAGAACGTGCTACTTAGTTATATATCTCCAAATGCTGCCAGCACTTTAATTTATATAACTCTTAAAGGTATTTCACAGTATTTTCTATTGACCCTCACAGCCAAGCGGATACTCCATGTGAATATATGCAAAATGGAGGCTTAGAGAGGCTTCAGTGACTTGCATGCAGTCAAATAATTGCTCAGTGATGAAACCAGAAACTTAGGTTCATACGTTCTAATGCCTAGTCAAAGGAGTATTTCTTTCATTGTTACCAGTTCATAGTAAGAAATATGAAAGCCTGTATTCATAATTGCTATCAATAAGCCTCTTCTGAAAATTATTTTTAAAACATTTATTGAGAACATTTTCAAACGTATTTTAGAACAGTATAATGAACTGCTGGTCAGCTACCCAACTTCAACATTACTAACAATCTTTCTCTCCGTCACTGTCTTTATCCCCACCACACCCCCCACCTCCCATATTTTAAAGTGTACATAAGGCATCTTTTTATCCATAAATAGTTGCAAATGTGTCTAAAAGATAACATTTCTAACTTGTGGGTTTTTATAACCCAGCCTTTTTGGAGACTTGAAAAGGTTTTCTGTGTGGAAAGTTAAATAATCAAAACCAGCTTTGAACAACTCCATTTGAGTGACAGATTTGGCGTTATTGTATGGCTAAAGCAAATGAGTTTCATTGGGTTGCTGAAGTGGGTTATTTTATTTATTCCTGTAAATTACCTTATTTTATTCATATACACTGAACCAACCAGCCATGTTTGTACTGAGAAATTGACTTTGCTTTTAAATTTTCTTAGAATTTTTATCATTTTATGAGAATCCTTACAGAAAGTAAGATTGAAACAATGACTAATTTTTTGAAAAGGTCATTGAAAATGTTCTGTAAATATACCTTAGCCCCAGGTGGTACACTGGCAGATGACATGATGCGTACAGATGTCTGTGTGTTCGCAGCACAAGAAGATCTAGAGACCATGCAAGCATTTGCTCAGGTAAATGGAACTCTACATACTTATTTCAGTTACCCACTACCCATCTGAATAATGTTTAAGGAATAGTCTAAATCTAAGAGGATACAGGTAGAAGGCTGAATTTGAGCTGAGGGTTTGAGATACTGTTCTTGGTACAAAATGATGAATTATAAAAGTTCAGATGTGTTGAGGAAAACAAAGTAGAAAAAGATTGAATTAGCTCTTCTTATTTGCTCCTCTGAAATTAATCCATTTATAAGAAAAACATCAAACTGAAAAGGAAAATCAGTTTCCTGTCATGATTTCCATCACTGAATTTTTCTGTATCTAACTTTTTTATTTGTTTGATATACTGTTTTAGGAAGGTTTCACGTGAACAGCATTGTGGTCTCAACATTCACCCACCCATATTATCAAGTCCTCGCTACCCCCGCCCCAGTGCAGTCACTGTCTATCAATGTAGTAAGATGCTGTAGAGTGAACTTATCTTCTCTGCCGCATCTAACTTTTTAAAAGTGAATGAGTAATAGGCACATTAGCTTATCAGTCAGAATCTCATTCATAGTTTTCATACACAATTATGTTCATGTTACTGTAAGCAGAGAATTCAAGTGCGTCTAACTTAAGAGATTGTTATCTATGTCATTAGGAAAGTAGAACTGTATTTTATGATCTTCCTCTGTTAATATCTTCAAAAGGACGATGACTTGTATTTGAGCAATGATTAGTTCTTACCTTAATATTTGGGAATAAAAATCTATTGCAGGGTAGCTTTTAAAGTGTTAACAGCACTGGCATATTGCAGGGTTTGGGAGTGCATAGACTTCCCAAGCTTGTTTAAATACTTTATAAACTGCTTCATTCAGTGGAAGGTTCACTTCCTTAGATCTGTGGAAGAGATCCTAGTGTCCCTGACCTAGGTCTTTTAGGAATCTGGCATCTGTACATAATGAAGTTATAATTAAATACCTTTACTATTCTTCACAGGTTTTTAACAAGTTAATCAGGCGCTACAAATACCTGGAGAAAGGTTTTGAAGATGAAGTAAAAAAGGTATGAGAAGCAGTATGCTCTGTAAAAAACAAAAAGTTGGGGGTCAAAAAGGAAAATTTTAATCCTAATCCTGCCACACATTTGAGATAATTTTAGATATTTAGGTAAGCTGTATTTGAAATGTTATTTTGGGGTATCATTTAAACACATTGAGAAAGAGAAATTTAGCATACTTGCTGTTTAGATAATCTTAGATACTATGAGGAAACTGAGTCACAGAGGTTATGTAACTTGCCCAAGATCACTTATCTCCTGAAGTATTATAACTGAGAATCAAATTTGGTAAGACCAAGAGTCCACACTTTTAACCAATATAGTGTGCTTTACTGCTTCTTTTTATATAATGCAATTGCTCTTTTAACCCTTAACTATTTACTTTTATAGCTGCTGCTGTTCTTAAAGGGTTTTTCAGAGTCGGAAAGGAACAAGCTGGCAATGTTGACTGGTGTTCTTCTGGCTAATGGAACACTTAATGCATCCATTCTTAATAGCCTTTATAATGAGAACTTGGTTAAAGAAGGTAATCAACCTTTAGTAAAGGATGGTCTGTAGTTGGCTGAGAAATGGAGTAGATAAGAGCATGAAAGATTAATTGATATAAAAGGATACAGTTTATGTAGATTTGACTTGTGTAGTAATCTTAGTTTTTTAACCATCCTTAAATTAATAGGTTTGTTCAGATTCTTTTGACATTTAAGGTATACCTTTGGTATCTAGTGTTAATGGCTTTCTTTAGGCATACAGCAAGTATCTAGGGTCCAGACAAAATGTAGTTACAACAAAAGAAAAAGAAAAATGCCATAAAAACCCAGAAAGAAATTAATTCCAATTGGGAGACTAAGGAACATCTTTAACAGACAAAGTGATATTTGGGAAAATGTCAAACTGGAAGGAAAATAAATTTCCTGTTGTGATTTCTATAGTTAAATTGTACTATGCAGGGATTATTTTAAAGTTAGCTTTCTTTTTTTCTGCTTAGAATACTGAGTACTTATGTGCTCTATGTTAATTATCGCAGAAACCTGTCAAGTGTAGGAACTGTTACTCCCATTTTACACATTCAGAAACAGTTTAAGTAACTTGACCTAAGAATATACAGCTAGTGAATGGTAGACTAGAGAAATTGGTGTGGTGTAAAATGGTAAGCCATGGCAGAAGGGAGTTTAGGTTGAAGTAAGTAATCACATGTGGCTGAACTATGGAATGAGGAAATGGGGAGGTAACCAGTGGTTAAAATCCAGGAAGGAACTTAACGTTAAGTCCGCTCTTTTGTTCTACAGGGGTTTCTGCAGCTTTTGCTGTAAAGCTCTTTAAATCATGGATAAATGAAAAAGATATCAATGCAGTAGCTGCAAGTCTTCGGAAAGTCAGCATGGATAACAGATTGATGGTTTGTCACTTGTTTCATTCATTCTTCCCATTCTTACAGAAAGTATAATAAGGGAATTTGCTAATTTTTATTCTGTGAAAAGAGGGAAAATATTTCTCTTAATCTGACTTAAAGACCATTTAACCACATTAAAATCTCCTTTTAGGAACTTTTTCCTGCCAATAAACAAAGCGTTGAACACTTCACAAAGTATTTTACTGAAGCAGGCTTGAAAGAGCTTTCAGAATATGTTCGGAATCAGCAAACCATAGGAGCTCGTAAGGAACTCCAGAAAGAACTTCAAGAACAGATGTCCCGTGGTGATCCATTTAAGGATGTAAGATACTTTTGTTTAAACCATCTTTATGTGACTAAGTTTCTGGCAAAGAAAACTTTGACTCATTTGAGAAACTATGAGTAAAAATTTTTCACCAGAGTAAGTTCTAATTAATAGCTGTAGAATCTTACCATATTCAGTGCCTTAGTAGTGCCTAGAAATTATAACACTTGGGATTTTGTAGGGTACGAGCCAGTGGACAGACCTTCTCTTTTCCATCTCAGACCTTTCCTGGCTATGTGTAAAATAAGGTTTCAACTAGAGATCTATCCCTTACGGTTCTAAAAGTTGTCTGATTATATCTGATACACATGTTCTTGCCAGTTGCCATGGGAAGATGTTTTTATGCTCTTGTGAAATGTCTGTGTTTCATATTTGGATTATGTACATATCAGAACTGATTTTATTTTACTTAATTTGGATTTTTTTACAGATAATTTTGTATGTCAAGGAGGAGATGAAAAAAAACAACATCCCAGAGCCTGTTGTCATTGGAATAGTTTGGTCCAGTGTAATGAGCACTGTGGAATGGAACAAAAAAGAGGAGCTTGTAGCAGAGCAAGCCATTAAGCACTTGAAGGTATTGGAACTGTGCCTTAACAAAATATTCTGCTTTTAAGTGGGGATAAGTTAACTTACTGTACTTACTGTAAGGATTTATCATACCATGTGGTTCCTGGGGATATCCCACCAGTAAGTAGAAAACATCATTGATAACCTTTTAAGAAGTCTCACTTGGGCTTTCTTTGGTTTATGGATTAAAAACAAATATATCTTAAAAGTGTGTTTTACATATAAATGGAAATACATGTTTAAAAGTAGCTGAAGCCTGCAGTTTGGTGTTTCCTTTGAGAGAAAATGTTGAAAAACAGGAGCATTCTTCCCCTCCACCCCCAAAATACTAATATTGTACTGATGTTATCTGGAATCCTTGGTATGGTATTGCTTATTTGACTTAGATGCTTAGTAGATTTTTCTGCTTTGCTATTTAAAATTACCACTAAATAAAATACTATTCACAGTGATAGTAAAAGCTGAGGTGTGTTCTCTATTCTAGGAATTTTGTAACTGAGGTCATTATAATGAATGGCTAAATCTTTTTACTTTTCCTTTTAAAAGCAATACAGCCCTCTACTTGCTGCCTTTACTACTCAAGGTCAGTCTGAGCTGACTCTGTTACTGAAGATTCAGGAGTATTGCTATGACAACATTCATTTCATGAAAGCCTTCCAGAAAATAGTGGTGCTTTTTTATAAAGGTAATTTAAATTTTAAATTTTGTCAGTAACATTTAATAGAAATTTCTAGAGTACTCAAAATAATTCCAATGAGTAGTTATCTAAACATCAGACTCTAATAATCACAGGACTGAGTGGTCTCTCATTGAATTGGGTGCTTATTAGCACATTATTGTCAGAACATCTCTAAACCTTATTAACAAGTTAAAATCTAAAGCCTTCTTGATACAGCTCCAACTTCACCGCCTGTGCTCTACCAGTTCTCTTTCCAGACACTCTGCACATGTCTCTTACCTTTGGCCTGCCCTTCACCCTATCCCATTACCCAGTGTGAACTTTCACTTTCAAGACCAGTTCAGAATGCTTCTCTAAAGCCCCCCTATTTCAGTTATTGTTCCCTTTTCTGTGATCCCAATTTCAGAAAATTTGTCTCAAGTGGTTAGCAAAGAAAAGACCTATTGGGAGAGAGCCCATTACCATGTTTAATTTACTGCGGTTGATGATAACACTTTTCTAACATTCTGCATAAATCAGACCAGCCTTGATCCCTGTGACTGTAGTTTGTGTGCGTATGTATTACTTCCATCACCTCGTTTTCATAAATGATTTTGTTGGTTCCTACATTCTAAACATAGAACAGAGGTCCACCCCATCTCTAGGTTTTTTTTTCTTTCTTTCTTTTTGATGAAAGAATAGGGTAATGAACTCTCCAAGTACCCCATGCTTGAGGGATTATCAGGCTTATGGTTGGGTTTCTTGAAAGTGTTGGTACCTCCCCCAATCTACTTCCTTCCACTCATGATTTAGAAACAAATCCTAGAAATCTTTTTCCAGTATGGGTCTATAAAATACATGGACATTTTTTTTACTTTTTTATAATTTTTTTTAAAAATTATTTTATATACAATACTGTACTGGTTTCAGATGAACAACTTAGTGATTTATCACTTACATACATTATTATATGCTCACCATGATAAGTGTTAGTCTGTCACCATACAAAAATACATTATTACAAGCTGTGTTCCCTGAGCACGCTTCCATCTGTTACTAGATCATTTTATATTTAAGGTTTGTAACTCTTTATCCCCTTCACCTGTTTCACCCATTTCCCCACTCCCTTTAGTAGCCAGCCATCTGTTCTCTGTGTTTATGAGTCTTTGTTTTGTTTGTTGTTTTTCATATTCCACATAGAAATGAAAGCATGTGGTAATCATCTTTCTCTGATTTCTTTTGCTTAGCAAAATACCCTCCAGGTCCATCCATGTTGTCACCAGTGGCAGGATTTCTTTCTTTTTTATGGCTGAATAATATTCCATTGTACATATGTACCACATCTTTATCCATTCATCTATTGATGGACATTTTGGTTGCTTCCATATCTTGGCTATTGTAAATAACGTTGCAGTAAACATAGGAGGGCATAAATCTTTTCAAATCAGAATTTTTGTTCTCTTCAGGTAAATTCCTGGAAGTAGAAGTGTATTTGTTTTTAGTTTTCTGAGGAAGCTCCATACTGCTTTCCCCAGCAGCTGTACCAATTTACATTTGCAACAACAGTATAGGAGAGTTCCTTTTTCTCCATATCCTTGTCAACACTTGTTACTTCTTGTATTTTAGATAGTGGCTGTTCTGACTGCTGTAAAGTGATAATCTCATTGTGGTTTTGATTTGCATTTCCCTGATGATTAGTGATGTGGAGCATCTTTTCATGTGCCTATTGGCCATCTGTATGTCTTTGGAAAATGTTTATTTCTTTGGTGTTGAGGTATATGAATTCTTTATATATTTTGGATGTTAACCCCTTACCAGATACATCATTTATGAACATATTCTCCCATACTGTAGGTTGCCTTTTTGTTTTGTTAATGGTATCCTTTGCTGTACAGGAGCTTTTCAGTTTGATATAGTCCCACATATTTATTTTGGCTTTTGATTCCCTTGCCCAAGGAGATGTATCCAGAAAAAAATTACTCATGCTTATGTTCAAGAGATTTTTTTGTTTTCTTTCAGTTTTAAGGTTTATGTCTTATATTTAAGTCTTTAAACCATTTTGAGTTTACTTTTGTGTGTGGAGTTGGGCAGTAATCCATTTTCATTCTCTTGAATGTAGCTTTCTAGTTTTCCCAACACCAGGTATTGAAGAGACTGTCTTTTCCCCATTGGATATTCTTGCCTCTTTGTTCGTCTATTAATTGACCATATGTGTGTGGGTTTATTTTTGGGCCCTCTATTATGTTCCATTGATCTATGGTTCTGTTCTTGTGCCAGTACCATACTGTTTTGATTACTGTAGCTTCATAGTAATAGCCTGAAGCCTGAGAGGGTTATACCCCCAGCTTTCTTCTTTCTCAAGATTGCTTGAGTTATTCTGGGTCTTTTGTGGTTCCATATAAATTTTAGGATTACTTGCTCTAATTAAGTGAAAAATGACATTGGTATTTGACAGGGATTGCAATGACTGTAGCTTGCTTTGGGCAGCATGACCATTTTGACAATATTAATTCCTCTTGTCTATGAGCCCAGAACGACTTTCCATTTATTTGTGTTGTCTTCAGTTCCCTTCATCAGTGTTATATAGTTTTCAGAATGCGGGTCTTTCACCTCTTTAGCTAGGTTTATTCCTAGATACATTTGTGTTTTTTTGATTTTGGTGGGGTTTTTTGTTGCAGTTGTAAATGGGATTATTAATTTCTCTTTCTACTAGTTCATTATTTATATATAGAAATGTAACTTATTTCTGTACCTTTATTTTGTAGCATGTGACTTTACTGAATTCATTTATTCTAATAGTTTTTGAGAGTTTTCATCATGAATGGATATTGAACTTTGTCAAATGTTCTTTCAGCATCTATTGAGATAACCTTAGTTTTTTATCCTTTTGTTAATGTGTATCACATTAATGTGTAAATACTGAACCATCCTTGCATCTCTGGGGTAAATCCTACTTGATCATGGTGAATGATCTTTTTAATTTTTTTAATTCTGTTTGCTAGTGTTTTGTAGAGCATTTTTGCATCTATATTCATCAGGGATATTAGTCTAATTTTCTTTTGTGGTTTTGGTACCAGGGTTAAGGTGGCCTCACAGAATGAATTTGGACACTTTTTTTTAGTTGATTCGTTCTCTCATTTATTCTTTCTTTCTTATAAAAACTACAGTACCATTTTCACACCTAACAAAATTTAACAAATTATCAGATATCTCTGATCGTTTATCAAAAGGTTTCTCAACCTTTGTTCTACTGATATTTTGCACCAGATAATTCTTTTGTAGGTGACTGTTGTATGCATTGTGGAGTGTTTTAACAGCATCCCTGACATCTGTGCAAGAGATGTCAGTAGCGCCTGTCCCTGGCGTAACAGCCAAGAATGTCTCTGAACATTGTCAAAGGTTGAGGGGTAGGGGGATTGCCTTTTGAGAGAATCGCTGGTTTAATAAGGGATTTTTCCTAGTTTTCAGTTCAGACATTGTCAACAAGTTGATAAAAAGTTTAACAGAGATCACCTGTTTCATCTTTTCTGATTTTCTTGAAAAACAAATTGGCTGGGAAAAAAAACATGTTTAAAATACAATTTTAAATACAAATTAATTTTGAAAGCAACAAAATAATTGCTTTTACTTAAGTTTTCAGTAGGATCTTTGTTGCCATGCAGGCATTTGCATGTTAGGTGGATTTTACCTCTGCCTGAGTTAGGAAGCTATGTGAAAGCATCCCAAATATAATGACTGCTCTTTTCTCTAGCTGAAGTCCTGAGTGAAGAACCCATTCTGAAGTGGTATAAAGATGCACATGTTGCAAAGGGCAAAAGTGTCTTCCTTGAGCAAATGAAAAAGTTTGTAGAGTGGCTCAAAAATGCTGAAGAAGGTAAGACATTTCCTTCATGCAGTTTGTTTTGTAAAGCCTGAAAACTAATTTCAAACTGACCATAGTCTGTATGTGCTGCCTTCTTTCATTCAGGTACCATTACGTACCTGGAGTACAGATTTTTGTTTTATGACAGACTTGTAAATACTTATTTACTTAAAGACAGTTGAGGAAAACTAGACTAATTATTAGAGTGTTTTGCTGGCTCAGCCATAATGCTATACTTTCTCAGGAGAAAAAGTGGAAATTTTTCAAGTATATAATATTTATGAGTTTTGAGGTTTACAAATGAATTCTTTTTAATATCCCCTTATATAAATAGGATTATTAATAAAATTCCTTAATTTAAAAAGCTTCAAAATTATAAATGAAAAATTTTACTCTGATATTACATAATGCTTGACTGCATTTTCCCCCTTTTTTAGAATCTGAGTCTGAAGCTGAAGAAGGTGACTGAATTTTGAAACTACACCCTCAGTAAAGCAAACAGGAATTGTAGATATAAAATGTCATGTCTCATGTGTCCTGGTTCTTACATCTTCCTACCTCCCTATATCAAGCATGATATAAGGGCTTTCATGGCAAATTTTATTTTAACTGTTTCTATGGTTACTGAAAATGTTGGGTTTAGTTTCTAAAAACCATGTTTTAAGTAGCTACAGGAGCTATAGATTCGAATCTAATGTTGCATTAGTCTTTTCAGTTATCTTCTACCTCCTGTATTTTCTACTGTAATGTAATTTAAGGCCTTCCACAATGAACAGTTCACTTTATTCCCTGGGTTTTCTATATAAGCAGTTTTCAAGATATGATTTGGTTAAAAATAATTTGTTATAAAAATTCTGTTTGCAAATTAAACTGTAAAAGTATTCAAAGTCTCAAAAGGCAATGATTTGTGTGATAATTTGGTGCCAAAGCCCTGCTCATTAATGAAAATGTCATGTACAATAACTGAATTCATTAACATGAATCTTGAGTATTTGGACCATTGCTTACATGTTGGTAACTTTCTTGGATTTTTAACCCTGGATGTCCTTGAGCTCAACTGTTTGCTCTCTTGTTTTCATTCCTTGGTGAAACCATGGGGTACAAGTATGAAAGTGAGGTCTTTGAGAAACTGTATATGGCAGAAGTTGTGGGAAGAAGAAAGTTGAGCTTTTTTCCATTGAGAAACATCTTCATTCAGTTTGAATCTTTACAGGCAAAAAAAAAAAAAAAAACCAATGGGGTATTATTTTCATTCAACCATCTTCAAAAAAACGTACCTTAGAAAAGTCTTATTATTTATTGTATTTTACACTTGTCATACACTTACACTGATAGGAAATTATGAGTAAAGGAAAAGACTACTTATACTAAACCCAGTAAATTGTTAAAAATGTTAAGTGGTCAACACGCTCTAATTAGAGTATTTGTTGTAAAGAATGAAGTAGTGATGATGATATATTTTCACTTGGGTCATACTGGACCAGCTTCATTCTCTTAACATACTAACTTACGACTAAAGCATCTGGTCATTGACATACCCAGTTGCCATCTTTTTAAATTGCCGTGAGCCAAAATATATCTTCATAGAATTGATCCATTTGTTTCAATGGCTGCCTTTTAATTTCCATATTTTCTTGCTGCTATCCATGTGTATATATATATATATATATAGTCATTAGAAAACAAAACATGGCCATGCTTTTTGGTGGAAAGATTTCATGTTAAAAGTGAACATTTTGAAAGTTTTTTGATTGGCAAAAGAAACTCTTGAAATAATGCCACCAGGGACTGAGTGGAAATTACCCCTTTCAAAGGTGCCATTCTTAGGAGCCAAAAGTTTGGTGTTTAAAAGTTCATCTTGAAAGGATAACATGTAATATAATGTGAAATAAAGGTATAATAACCTTATGAAGAAGAGCATTATAACTGATACCATTGTGAATGTGGTGAAATTATTAAATGAATAACTTTGATAAAGTTTTCACACACACGCAATGTTTCACTAGGTTTCTACATAGTAATCTGCTTTTACTTTGAAATTTGTAGTCCTCAGAAGACTTTCTTAGAAAAATTAAGTCCATCTTTACACTTAGGTTAGGTCAGTCTTTTTTAATTTTTTAATTTTTTTGTAAGTTCCATGTTAATACCTAGTAGAAACTGTATGTAACGCATTCACACATCTCTATTGTATAATCATTAAGTAGTTGCTCTTTTCATCCTTATGGACCCCAACTGTTAACACCTACACCAAATTCTGATGTAGTAGAAACTAACATTTCTACAACCAAATCATTGCATGTTACTGCCATACAAAGTATACCCTGTTTTATTATATACTATGTATAGTGAAAGAGTGTGTAGTCTTCTAGTACTACATTATGATCTTTGATCATACTGTTTTTTTCTTCATAATGACAAAGCAGTGTTTATTTACTACAATGCTATAGTGAATGGATAAGTCACCTGTGACAGTATAGTATAAAGAAAGGGAATGCTTTCTAAAAAGACTTAAAAGTGGTGATTTTGAAAGTCAGCTGCCAGTGCCAATCTATGGCCTCAAATATGTAATTCTTAATATAGATTGTTAAAATTGTGCTTGTAATTATGATTGGATAAGTGTTCACTGATTTTCCTAACTTGGTGTTGACTTCTAAGGATAAGTCTCCTCCTAGATGCTATAATTAAATGTGTGTTTAGAGCTGATCAAGTTTCTTAATCTTAATTCTGGGAATATTGTCCTTGAGATATTTAATATTCTGAAGACTCCAGATACCAAAAATGCCACAGGATATTTTGACATGGCATAATGATGGTGGTGAGAGGAAATGCATGTGACTGAGAGATTTACTTCTAATTCAGGGTTTCTCAAAATTTTTCCCATTATCAACCACCCCCCGAAAAGAAGCCATTTTAGACTTTTTTCCTAATAGCACCCCAGTGGATATTAATATAGATATGCTGTATATGTATAGTATCTGCTTTATACATGAAAAGAGTAAGGGGTTTTTTGGTCCCACTTGGGTGTGATGGCACCCCCATAGCAAATGCATGCCCTAATACATCTTTTTTTAAAGGGAAGGGGACCTAGTGATAGACATTTGCATTGACAGATATATCTTTATGTCCATATCTGAAGCAGTGTTTTCTGCCAGGGTCACTAGAAAATAGAAAAAATTTGTTTTCTGCCAGTCCCTATCCCTTAACAGTTGTGCTTTTGTATATAACCACGGTAGGTATCAGAAAAGTCATTTCCCACTGGCTTTGGAGGTCTTGACAGATTCTTACCGGATTATAAATGTATCATAAATTGAATCATTTTGGTTTCTTCTAATCTATAAACGAGTGAAAATCCTAGGTGAGTGATTTAAAGTTGGGCATAACACTTAAATAAATGGTATTAAAATTGTACTGATGACTCTACGGTCACACTCAAGTAGGCTGCCTACAGGGACTGACCACTGTTGTTTAGCTTTCAGTGTAACAGATGCCAAAGTTTTAGTGTTCATTACTGCTTAGGTTACTGGATTACCTTTGTAGAAATTTTGTTCAGATGCTATTTACAGGTGCCATGAAAAATAGGTTAATAAGCATCTTTGTGAGGAGTCTGGTAAATTGCCTTGCTGTGATATTACATATAAAGTATTAATCTTCAATTTGTATAAAATATTTCTATTCACCAGCCTACTAAGGCCTAAAAAATATATTATTAAGAAATGAAAAGTTTTTCAGTAAGGTTTATTTGGTTTAAGTGAAGTCCAGAAGGTAAGTACTTCTGACTTCAAAATAATGAATTTGGCTTCTGCCTAAAATCTTGAATTGTAGTGGGCTTGTACCTAAACAATCTTATGCATAATTGTATGAAACTTGGTATGGATCAGGAAGTCTTCCTGGCTTCCCCTCCCCATGTTTTTCCTCCAATTTAATTATAGGCAAATAGTCATATCAAATCCAATCATTTAAATTTTCCAATGCACTTATAATCCTATCCTTATTCCAGGGTTGTAGTCTCAACTGTTAATGACTTGAGAAAAAGATGAAGATACTTTACAAATGCACTCAGTCGCTGTCAATTTAGTAACTGTTAGTAAGAATCTTAGTTAAAAGTCAGCTGCACGTGGTGCATACTATAGTGCCCTAGAGGAGACAATGGTAAGAAATCTACTGAACCCTTTATTTTGTAGACTTTATCTAGAGGGACCACTATCTTGTTAAAAACTACATGATTAGATTAAAATAAGGATGAAAGTTTAGACTTTTTTAGCTGAAACCTTGAAGGCTGTGCTTAAAATTTTGACTTAGAGGTAAACCTTTTGGGGAAATAAACGATCCATTTACATACTGAAGCCTCTATTAAAAGATGATCTACATTCTCTGGCATCTTAAAAATAAAATATTTTTTCTGTAAACAGAGCTCACTTCCCTTCTAGTTAGGAGTAATGGATCCCGGCATGCGAACAGTTGAAGAACAGAGAAAACTGGATAGCTGGTAATTCAAATAGTTCTTGGCACTCTGAAAAACCTCAGTACAGCCATCCATGCCAGTAATTACATTGCTGCATTATTTCTGTGTTTAACTGTGAAATTTACTTCTTGTCTGTACTCTTGAAATTGAATAAAATTTCATGAGACTCCTTGTTAATGTCAAGAGAAAAGCAGTAACTTGCATTGGGTGTTGTATGCTAATAACCTTTAGTTACTAAGTGCTGGGTTGCGTTAAGGCTCAGTTCTTGTCCCAGTCTTCTGTTTCCCTTGGTGTTTTAAAGACCATCAAAGGCCTGTGCACCAGACCACTCTTGCTTTGTTTGGCTCACATGTGCTTCAAACTAATATCCAAACATGTACATGGTTTTTTAAAAAAAAATGCCACCTGCCCTCCCCAGAAAGCTTCAGGTCCCTTCCCTTTCAGCCTTCACATTTAACGGATTGTCTTGTCCATTCCAACTCCAGAATAACCCCAATGCCACTACCCTGATTCAGGCCACCAGCATCTGTTAAACACTACAGCTAGGGTGGTTCCTTGAAGTTAAGTTTAACATTTTCAGACCTTTATTTTTGTCTGAGGCTCTTTGTGAATCTAATTTCCCTTTCCCTCTTAGTCACCACTACATGCCAAGTGTCAAATAGTACTTGTCAAGTAGTAAGCATTAAATATTAGTTGAGTAAAGAAAATGAAAACTGGCATGTTGATAATTATTCCTGGATCAGAATACTGAAGAGAATATGAAAAACGGATGTTTGCATGTAGAAAGGAATCTGTTACAATGTGAATTTTAGATATTTAAATATTTAGAAGCAACTTAGACACAGTTTATCTGTTCTGTGTTTACGGTTGCTACAAAGTGACCAAAGGATGAAAACCTATCAGTTAAATAGTGAATGCATGGTGTCAGGTACTCTGCTGAGCTTTAGGCCAATGGGTAGTGAACAGGATTGGGTGTCAATTCAGGCCTATAGGAAATGGTGAGTAATCAAAGAGTGAGGTGAGTGTAAAATAAGGACAAAAGGTACTGGCAAATCAGAGTCTCGTTTCAAGAGCTATAATTAAAATACCATAAGAGGAATTACATTAATAATATGGTTTGCAAGCGCCTAACAAAAATAGTGCAGGTCTACCTGAAATAAAGTCTTGGAGACCAACATCTAGTCCATCTACTAGCTGTGTGACTGGGCAAATAATTCAACCTCTAAGCCTTGTTTTCTGTAAAGAATTGTGATCATCAGATGATGCCTATCATGTGATAGATAGGTGGTGGTTTACAGTGAAATCTACTTAGATAAAAACTTCTCACAGTACCATCACTTAGTAATTACTCTGTGAACATTGGCTATTTTGTTTGCCAAGGATGTGTTAATGGGAGAGCAGAACTGACACTGCCAAAGCCCTGAGTACATGTTTCTTAGACTTGAACTGGTTGAAGGTAATGGAAGTCCCTGCAACCATCATAATGCCTGCTTTAGCAACTGGGTAGAGATGCAAGGTAACAAATCCTCATGGCCCAGTTGTAAGAATGGAAATCATGTTTTATGTGTGTGGTCAATCATTCAGGGTCAGTGTCCTCCCAGAACTCCATTCTAATAACTAAAAGTTAAAAACCCACAAAGAATGAGGAGAGTTCGTGGCATATGAAAAATACCAATTCTTGAAAGAAGGAAAGCAGATGACCAACTGGCTTGGTTTTATCTTTCTATTCTGCTAAGCCCCTGTGCTGCAACAGAGAGCTAACGAGATTGGTACTGCAGGACCCAGGGAAGTCTCGGGAGTTGGAGGGCTCTAGTTTCTTAAGGGCAGGGTAGGGAGTGGCAGAGCTGAAAACATGAGTATTGGAGTCTTAAAAGAGTAGGCACCTACTCTATCCCCTCCCCTTTTATCACCAGGTTATTTTGACTTGTTAACACAAATTAAGCAGAAAACAAGGTTAACCATTTGGAGAAGTTAGCGGGGAAAGGTGGGGGCCCTGGACTGTTGGATACTGTCTTGTGAATGGGTTTCAGCCCCAGGCAAGTTTGCTATGGATTCAATGTGACCAAAGAAATTGACAGCAAAACATTCTTTGGGGTGAAAGGGTTTCTTACCTGGTTTATTCTCCCAGCGGTAGGTCAAGCTAGCATCTCTGCCTTCACCCAGAACAACGGGCTGAGCTCTCTATATAGTGCAATAATAGCTTATTGCCTAATGGTGTGGAAGCAGTAGTCTAGCAACAGGCCAGTTACATTGTCAGGTGGTTTAAGTTCAGTGAGGATCCTGGCCATAGGAACCCCAACTTGCCCACACTCCACCTCTCTGGCCTTACAATCCATGCTTTCAATCTTCCACAATGGACTCTGTGGGAGAAAGCTGGAGCACTGTAACCAGATTTCACAACAGCAACAGGATAACAACTTTGAGATAATAACAAAAATTAAGATAAGTAACAAAAATTATAATAATCCTCAAGCCAGAGGAAGTTCCCAATCCACAAAGACCTTAGGGGCGATAAGATACGTTTTAATGACACCAATGTAGGCAAATCTTGTCCATCAGGTAGGATGCATGCAAGAGAGTGGTCCTGTAACAGGACTGTAGCAGGAAGGGGGTTCCTTCCAAGTCCAGCATACCATACTTTTACTCCTTTCCCTATGGGGGTTACTGAAGGGTCTATATATAGTGCTACTGAAAGTTCATGCACTGGCCATAATGATAAAACTCCCTGGTAAGATGCTCCTACCTTCTGGCCATTCAGGATATACTACTGTGACCTTTGGGGGCCACTCTGCTATTATTCCAGGAATACACAGAAGGCCAGCTTCCAGACCATGTCCCCAAGGTGCCAGGAGAGCCAGCAATCATTGCTCCATGTGTCGAAAGGTCCAAGGCCACGTTCAGTCAATGGAGTCTCAGGTTCAGCGCAGTTGGTACTGGCAGCAAGATATTATTGTGGCCGATCCTTGGCTTCAGTGATTCTTCCTTGGTTTGTACTTGCAGTTGTATGGGGGAGGCAGCCATATGTGTTAGCATGTCTATGGGGCTCAGGGCTCCCTTTCAGGGTCTCTCGTTCAAACGCTGTTGCACGGTCATAAGCAGACTGCCCATCCCCGCAGACTATTGGTATCTGACTTTAGTCTGGATTTTAACAAGCCATTGTTCCTCTCTATAATGCCTGCTATGGTAGGATTGTATGGCACATGAAACTTCCATTTGATTCCCAAATGTTGCACCCATTCTTGCAATGTATGTCCAGTAAAATGGTCGGCCATAGGAAGCAAAAGAGGCCTCTTTTCGTCGTCTGCTGGTCTGCACAACAGATAGGAAAAGCAACCATAAGTCCAGTAGCTGTGTCCGCACAAGTCATGGCATATCGATATCCTGACACAGGTAGAGGCCCAATGTAGTCTTATCTGTCACCTGAAGAGGGGTATAGGCCCCTTAGCTATTGTCCCATGTTGCTGTGGAACTCGGTGTAAGTCCCTTTTGGAGCACACAACACACTCCTGCCGGGCTCTACTAACTTTAAATGTCAAAGGCAAGCCCCATCAATGCTACAGCCACATTGTCTTTTGCCCCGCATGCAACAAACACTGAAGTAACCATTGGGCTACATCAGAGGCAAGCTTTCCTTCTAACCAAAGTATCTGGGCCAATTTATTTGCATCATCATTTCCTGGGGATGTTAGTGGCAAAGGACCTGTAACATGTAATTATTTGGGTATACTGTATACTGTAATTATTTTGGTCTGACCACAGGCCCATAAGTCTTGCCACAATTCTTGCCCCCAAAGGGGTCGGTGACCAACCAGCCAGTTGGCATGGTACCAGGTTGGTAGCCACAGGGTCAAGCCCTGATAGCCCAGCTGTCAGTGCAGACAACTATAGGCTGCCCTCAAGCCACACGGCCCGCAACTCTGCCCATTGGACTGCTCTTCCAACCATATTGTCTCAGTGATGGATATGAGCATGACATCATCAATATAATGGTACAGCCACACCGTTGGTGGTTTCTCCCATATAGCCAAGTCCTGGGCTACAAATCCATGACAGATGGTGGGGCTATGGAGGTATCCCCGTGGGAGGATGGTAAAAGTCCATTGCCATCCTTCCCATGTGAAGGCAAACTGTTCCTGACTTTCCTGCTCAATGTCAATGGAAAAGCAGGCATTAGCAAGATCCACAGTCATACGCCAGGAGCCATATGGCTTTTTTACTGGCCACATGGGGGAATTGAAAGGACTATGGGTGGGCTTTATAACACCCATCTTTTCCAGCTCCTGGAGAGTTTCTCCAATCTCTTTATGCCCTCCAGGCAGTTTATATTGTTTGGTATTAGTCACCAGCTGAGGCACAGGCAAAGCTATGGGCGCGTGCCTAGCATGTTCTCTCAGAACTGCCTTCACACAGTACTCTCAGTCTGAACTCACCTGCAGTGGTCTGCAACCTTAGACCCTGCAGGATATCAATCCCCAAAATATACTCAGGGATAGGAGATATACACACAGTATACTCTTTTGGGTGTAGATGCCCTATTCCCAAGGGATTTGGGCTTGTTTCACTCTGACCCCTTACCCCCATATCTGTCTATGATAGTGGGGGTCCCAGGGAACCACTCAAGGTTACCATGAATCAGTGAACATTCAGCCCCTGTGTCCACCAGAGTCAGGACACATTGTATGTTCACTGGGAACTATAGCTATTTCAACATGTGGCCTCCGGTCCCCCCCCGTCCCTCAGGGCAGATACTTTGACCTTCCCCTCAGTCAAACCATGTTCCCCAATCATCTTCCTGTGTGGGCTCCAGTGAAGTTGGCTTGCTCTCCAGTAGGAAGTCTTGCAAACAAACAGGCCAGACTTTTGGCTCTGTCTTTGACCTCTGCCTCTTTGTTCTTAATGGCTGAACTGCTGCTCTGGTTTCTGTTGTTGCCATAGCTCTAGTAGGATCCTATTGGACTTCCCATTGAGTTTCCTTCCATCTGCTCCCACCTGTATTAAATCAACCCACACCTG